TAATATAAAAGAAACGCTTCGACACCTTTTTGTGCAAAATCGGACTCGCGTCGCACCAAAAATGAAATCATGCTGCACTGTATCGCATATGTTTTATATAGATATTTACAGTTTTTACAGATTAGTTGTTACAGGTTTTATATGCAAGTGTAACCCATTTATGATACATGATTCAACTACATACTACATACATATAATACAACTGTAAGGGTCCGAAGACGATACAGCAAGTCAATTAGAGATCAGCGACATTCGTGATATAACACCTACAATATTTGAAAAAAAATTCTAGAATATTTTCTAATGTGGCAGGCGGTGATATCTTGGGGTGCATATGCCCCAGTATCTGTTAAAATGACGAGTTTTTCGGCGAATATATACACGTATATGTCTCTGAGAGAATTCTGCCAGAAACACTATGTCCGGGATACCGTGCAAGCTAGGGCGTTGTACCATCTTTTACAAAAGCCATAGCAATAAACTTTTATCCCATAAATCTACATACGGGTACCCCGCTCCATTTTAAATACGTTTGTGAATTGAAATATCAGTTATTCAGTGAGTTACTGCGCATGCGCGGACTCGCATTTTAGCCTGAGGAACAAATAGAAAATTCTAGAATATTTTCTAATGTGGCAGGCGGTGATATCCTGGGGTGCATATGCCCCAGTATCTGTTAAAATGACGAGTTTTTCGGCGAATATATACACGTAAATGTATCTGAGAGAATTCTGCCAGAAACACTATGTCCGGGGTACACTGCAAGCTAGGGCGTTGTACCATCTTTTACAAGAGCCTTAGCAATAAACTTTTATCCCATTAATCTTCACACGGGTACTCCCGCTCCATTTTAAATACGTTTGTGAATCCAAATATCTGTTATTTAGTGAGTTACTGCGCATGCGCGGACCCGCATTTTAGCCTGAGGAACAAATATAAAATTATAGAGTACTTTCTAATGTGGCAGGCAGTGATATCCTGGGTTGCATATTCCCCAGTATCTGTTAAAATGACGAGTTTTTCGGCGAATATATACACGTAAATGTATCTGAGAGAATTCTGCCAAAAACACTATGTGCGGGGTACCCTGCAAGCTAGGGCGTTGTAATATCTTTTACAAGAGCCATATACCAATAGACTTTTATCCCATTAATCTACACACGGGTACCCCCGCTCCATTTCAAATACGTTTGTGAATCTAAATATCAGTTATTTAGTGAGTTACTGCGCATGCGCGGACCAGTATTTTAACCTGAGGAACAAATATAAAATTCTAGAATATTTTTTAATGTGGCAGGCGGTGATATCCGGGGTTGCATATGCCTCAGTATCTCTTAAAATGACGAGTGTTTCGGCGAATATATACACCTATATATATGTCGCTAAATTGATTGGCCTGTAGCCGTCGCGTAAAACGATCGATGTATCAAGAACGTAAAAATCTCACGTAATTTTAAAATTTGTATTTTTGTCTCAAAATTTCGACCTAAAAGCTACTAGAGTAAACCCAGCTCTATACTTTTCACTGAGGACGAATATGTGCGTAATATTTGCGCAAATAACGCGTTGAATTATATTGGAACGCTGCAATATGTATGCAGTTTTGCTACCTAAGATAAGCGAGCGATAACATCTTGCTTAAAAAATACCCCGGATATATTATAATAATTATGGTTCATACGCGCTGCTAATATCCATTCACGTCCTCTCCTTTCTCTCCTTTTCTCTCTATCTATACATCGCGCGCTCTCTCTCTCTCTTTCTTTCTGATCATTTAAATATTGGTATCACCACTTTACGTGATCTGTAGCTATAGGTTATTATCCTCACACATTCAACAAGGTAGTTTCCATGTACAGCCTTGTTGCGACCGAGTGCTATGACCTATGAAGCCACGTAAATGCGTCACCTCGTGCATACTGCAGTAAATGTGCTCACATCTCGGCAAGTGTCTACAACATCTCGATAAACGCGTTAACACGATGCGCGGTCAATGCAGCAGGCAGCAGAGAAGACATGCAGAGCGAGACTATTAAAGACAATTATACCTTCATAGGGAATGGAGACAGTCACCCGCTCCGGGCTTCGGGCAATGAGGGCGACACTTAGATTTCCTTCTACTAGCCAGTCAGGAGCGACTGTAGCCTGAGCCGTGATGTTCTCAATCATATCGTCGGCATCTTCACTGATGAATAGCTGATAATGAGAGGCTTTAAAAGCCAAAAAAGATGCCCAAAAAATGTAATTGCATTATCTTCTCATTCATACTCATTGGTGGCTTTGCCATCCGAAGTTAATACTAGCTGTGCTTTTTATAACACGATAAAGTTGTTAAATTTGTTATTCTGATGTAATGTACTTGAACAGAACGATATATACCTTTAGTCAACGTGAGCGTTTTACTTAAAATTTTTCCATGAAGAGAAACACTAAAAAAGCTTTAATGGAATGCACGCAAATTACCTTGCCCCTGGTCAAGACTCCGTCCAGGAGCTGTCCACTCTAGCGTCACAGTTCTAGTCGTGATGTCTACGTCGGTGATGCGTAAGTCTGTGACGTCACCTGGTGGATAGTACTCGACACCTGCAGCCGAAACATAATTAGCTATACGTTACACATTGTCTTAAATACCATATATATGTGTGTGGTGTGGTGTGTGTGTGGTTGCTGTGTGTGTGTGTGAGTATGTGTGTGTGTGTGTGGGCGTGTTGTGGTTGCGTGCGTGGGCGTGAGAAATCGGAGTGTCGGAGAAGTCGTCGCTAGCCGTGTGGTTGTTGGTGTGCGTGCGTGCGTTGCGGTGCGTGCGGTCCGTGCGTGCGCGCGGCGACGCGTTCAGGGGGCTGTGTGGTGTGTGCGCGCATTTAAGAAATCCTGCGCCTTGCACGGATGGGTACCAAATTATCAATTCGCATTGATGACGAGAAGGCAAAAAAACCGATAACATTACTATAGTATATTTATGCTTAATAATTATAGTGGTATATATAATTAATACTGATACTATGAGCAAGTTATATTAGCGCACTACGAAGCTGCATATAACCGATATCTGAGAAAGTGGGAGAGTGGAAGCCTGAGCTCGTCGTGACTATCTCGCAGTTGTTGAACAAGCGCTGTTTCTGCGAATGATAGTGTATTCGATCGTGTTGGCTCATCGATGACGGCGTCGGTATCTATCTCGGAAGCGCATGATACAGTCTTGTCCTCTTCCACGCTGGTAAGTCTTGCTGGATCAGGCCGTCCGTGTTTCTCTAGTGCGGGCTTACACTGGCATGATGCATTTAGAACGTGAATATGTCTCTGGAGGGACCACACCGACAAAATCTGTACCCATGCACGTAAGGTAACCCGTGTTTTATACCACGCGCGTGACGTCTCGTTTAATAAGGAAAGCCCATTGGATCTTCTGTGCTGGGAAGACCTCTAGTGATGTTCACCATTGATAGAATCACGCACGACACTGAGCACGCAAAGGGTGTATGGTGACGTTAGTATATGACTATGTTATGCGTTGATATATATATCGATTAGTATAATATTATTATTATATATAGTATAATTCTCTCTCTCTCTTATGTTACATACATATTTTGTTTGTGTGTGGGCAATGGGATCGACCCCGTCAGCGTTATGATTTCTCCAGCTTCTGTGGTAGGATAATGTGTCGTGTCGTCGTCACGCTCGCGTAGGGGTGTGTGTGCCGCGGCCTGTGTCGTGTACAGGACAGTTTTGGTGTGGGTGCTGGTGGTGTAGTTGGAGACGAGGTTGTGTGGTAGTGTGAGGTGTGTGTGTGTGTGCACTCGCCTGCCGCACGAGAGTGGGTGCGGGGTGTGCGTGTGTGAGGTGGAGTGTGTGTATGTGTGTAGTGTAGTGGAAAATGTGAGGTGTGTGGTGTGTGTGGAGAGGGGGACAGAAGTGTGGTGTGTGCGGTGCGTGCGTGCGTGCTGTGCGTGGTGCATTTAGCGTTGAGTGTGTGGTGTGTGTGTGTGTCGTGTGTGCTCGTGGACGGGATGGAAGAGGAGTGTGTGTGGGACGAGTTGTGTCGTCGGTGTGTGTGTGTGTGTGTGTGTGTGTGCGTGCGTGCGTGTGTGAGCGTGTACGTGTGTGTATGTGCGTGCGTGTATGTATATGTACATAGCAGCACAGAGCGTTCGCATCAGGCAATATTTATTTTATTACTAGTATATAATTCGCATCGTACCTTTGCGCTGTACCGACCGTTTGCTGTAAACCCTGTGAAGTATGACGAATACACTCCATCGTCTTTGCTAGCATCCGCTCCTAAAAGATAAGAACGAAAATATTACAAAGTATATCGATATAACAAATGATATAAAAATAATAGACGATGCGTACACCCGAATTTCACAGCTGAAGTGAGAATTAAGAGAATTTCAACAATCTTGCTACGCGCATGCTTATTATAATGCATATCGTTCAATATGAGACTGTATTAACATAATGACAAATGCATGCATTTTGCTAACTCTGTAACAATAAATCTACAACTAAATAACAAATAAGGCAACCTGTTCCATCATCGGTAAGCGTAAGAGTATACGCCTCAGAGGTATTGCCAGGCAGGTCAACAAAGGCGAAGACATCAGCGTATAAGATCGGGCTATAACCTGTGCAGATGGAGATTACATATAGTCAAATTATGATAACGTCGTTAATAATGATACATATATATCTAATCAGGGGTTAATAATGACAAATGACATTATTATTTGTCATTATTAACACATTTGTCATTATTGTCAAATATGTCAAATATTAACATATTTGTAATAAAACACATTTGTCATTATTAACCCCTGATATAATATATATTATCAGGAGTTAATAAACTCTTGATATTATGTATGTATATAAATACATATATCAAAATAAGTATAATATCTATATATAATTCTAGACGTAGACCGACTGAGAGATTGAATCGGCGGCGAGAGAGCGAGAGTAAGGGAGCAGATAAGAGAGGAAGGGAGAGGAAGCCGGGAAGAACAATTACGCACATAGTGTCGACATATGTGTATGAAACCCTGATCACACGCAACATAATTAATGATAGCGATATTCACCGCACAAAGAGCATCGTACGTTTTTACTTTGTAGCTCAACGAAATCGCAATCGATACACGCGCACACGTGCACGCGAACACGCGGAAATACACACACACGCAAGCACACGACGATACACGCATATAGCTATCGAAATTTTTTTGATCATATCAGAGGCCATATCGCACCGATTGAACCTACCTTTCGAGAGTGTAGTAAACAGAATCTGTTGCTGAGTTGGGTATAGTTCTTCATAGAGCCAGCTGGAGTCGGCGGTGATTGGACGAGTGCCGGCCACCGCTGAACTAGACGTCACAGTGACTGTGACATTGACACTATCTTCTTGGTTGTTACGAACGCGGAGTGTATACTCCCCGGGCTATGCATGGAAATAAAGTTAACATAATATGAGCCTATTTCATCTACAGCAATTTTAAGATGCAAGGACATAGCCGCGCTACCATATAATACCGTGTATAGGTAACGACACGCATACAAATATATAGGTATTGTATAAATATACACAATATATCCACACACGGATATAATACGAATATGTTTATGACGATCATATTTTCGTACCGTGGCGGTGCCTTTGACTCTAATGTAGATCGATGAAAAGTCCACATCCACCTCATATGCCGCCGAGTTGCTATTGTACACGTGTCCCTGAGGATCCGTGAGTGTTACTGGGGTTGCGACTTGCGCGTTTCCGTCGAATGTTACCGTAAACTGCGTGTTTTCGCCGACCGTTGAGTCGATGAATATAGATTTGAGCACGGATTCGTTGCTGTCGACCAGGTCGCCGCTGCTAAACAGTTGCGCAGGAAAATCGCGTTTACCTGGAAATGAAACAATCCATGAACGGTATTCGACGGCGGCGGGGAAGAAACCTATAACCCACTCGAACAAAATTGGTCACGATGTGATGGAATGACGGCGTGTCAATAAATAAATATTGACTGATCGCGTGCGCGGTGCTTTTCTTCACCGATAAAATTGCTAGACAATTCTGCGTGCAGAATATACGCATTGAAAAAAAGAACGCAGCGGAGCCGGTGAAGTATTCTCTATGAACGACGGTGAACGACGGAAAGGGGGGGAAAATGCATTCGTCATCTTTACAAATTAACATGCCTGCTGGGTTGTGTGTGCAACGACACTCTCGGAAGTTCGATAAATAATATGTATACACTTACTAGCTTCACGCTTTCCAATTTCCATGAAAGCGTCGTTCAGTGCGTTAGAGGGCGCGTCGGTCGGGTAGTAGAACATAGAACCACTTGTAGCTTCGGCTAATTCTTCTAACTTTAAGGAACCATCCTTGCCAATCGCAATCGAATCTATCGTAATACCGAAATCGGTAACCTGCGTGCAACGTAAACAGTTGGAATACACACAGATTTACAGAGAACGCAACATTTTCCTAAGACCAAACTTACGGATGGAGCAAGCAATTTAATCTATACAGGGTGGCAAGTACAATGCAGGGGGGGGGGTACAATAAAGGGGTAGGTTGGTCTATAGGAGACACCGAATATTTTACGCTTAACACCGAGCAAGTGTACGCTACTTGCTTACAACAAGGTAGGTGTTGTAGTTACACCTGAGCGTAGTCACAGCTGGCGGGCAGCCGTTACTGTGTGTCGCGTAGGATTCCTAGATCAGATGCAAGCACGCAGCTGCTGTAGTGCGAGAGTGTGAGGCCAGGGCCGTAGGCTGAACAAATTCCTAAGGGGGGTGAGGCGGATCCAGGATTTCAAGGAGGGGTGAGAAACAGGTGGGGGTCTGGGGGTCTTCCCACAAATTTTTTTGAAAATGTAGATCGCAGGAGATAGTATTTGAGGCACTTTTGAGTACATGTACAGCCTTCATTCTGACTACAACTATTCTCTTTTAGTAGAACAATTTATTTTTGTAATTTTGCTCCAAAATCTAGGGGGCAGCTGCCCCCTTGCCCCCCCCCCCTGCAGGCTACGGCCCTGCTCAGGCGCATGTTGCCTTGCTGTTGACAGGTTTGCAACGTAAGACGCGTCGTCAATATTCCGGACACGTGAGACGCATGCCAGCTTCCAGGTGAAACACGGCCAGTCTACATTACTTAAAGGTTTACTTAACGTTTGACGACGTGCTAGTATCACGTAACCTCTGTATATGCGCGCGTCGTCGCTGTAATGAAACACTGTGCTAGTAGCGAGTTATTCTGCAATCGCAGGTGATGTGTCGCGTGGCATTACTAGTTTGACAGATACTGAGGTCGCGAGGTCATGCAGTGACGCGCGTGTGTGCCGCATGTGTGCGTGCGCGCGTGTGCTGCGCGCGCATGTGTGCGTGTGCGCGTGTGCTGCGCGCGCATGTCGTGCGTGTGCGCGCGGGCGTATGCGTATGCACGCGCGCACGCGCGCGCTTGCGTGTGTGTGTGGGGGGGGGGCGGGGATTCTGCACAACAAACTTTAACCCTTTAAATCTTTCAATACTCACATTAAGTTTGATATCACTTATCAAAGGCGGCGCGTTTTCCTCGCCATCGCTTACGACGACAAGATTCCCGCCGTCTGCTGAGATCGATTGTCCATCGATCGACGATAGAACGTCTATGCCAAGCTGAATTCCTGTGAACAGATATGAGTTATGTCAGCGTATTTACTCACGCGCAATCATGCGAGATAACATCACGATGTCCAACTATAGTAATTAAACCATTCACTACAGGAATTAGGTACATACACATATGGCACCGCATCACACACGTGCTCCGACTACGCGGGTATGCAGGCGCCTGTACGTTTGACGAGTATATATAACTAATAATTTCCCAGCGTGCTTGGTTAAGCTGACCTCGCTCCTCAGGCACATCTCGCCCAATCTACAGGCAGAACGTGTATGTGCACGCACGCGTGTATGTGCGCGCATGCGTATACGTGCACGTACGCGTGTACGCGCGCGCATGATTGTGTCTACGTGCGTGCGCTCATGCGTGTTATTATATTTCTATATCATAATTTGTTCTAGATATGATCTAAGTGTGCATGATGCTGATCACCCAATAGTGTGGCAATTTCGGGCATCTTAAACCAATAAACAGCGGAATACATAGCAGACAGACAGACAGACAGACAGACAGACAGACAGACAGACAAACAGCCAGACAGACAGACAGAGTTGATTCTTGTAGCAGTATAGATTAGTAGCAGTATATAGCATTATATTTAGGAAAATGTTATTTATACTATAAGCGCAATGTCTGTTTCCGGGTGCCGGATGTCCTCCTAGACTACAAGACCGATTACAACCATACGTAGAATGGACACTGAGCGCGTACCCGGCCTGGATTTAAGCTAAAGGAATTTTTTATTTCCGACGAAAAAATCTACAGAAACACGGAAAACAGAATTAGCCAATCAGGTAACACGTTGTTTCCGCCAACCGGCTAACACCGGTCTGTTGTCATAGTGACAACGTGGCTTGGGTACCACCACTTACTAACACTAACTACACAGAGAAAGTGGAAGACAAACATCGTCCGTCTACTGCATGAAATGTTTCGCAACCTACAATATTTACGTCTAGGTTACGGCGGTGATTAATTATGTTACGTTTACGTTTTTCCTTAAACGCATACACTAGTACATGCTAACTGTAGAGTAACGCGTCCGTGCAGTCCCAAGTACACGAACGCATCACGAAAACACTGGAGCTTCTGCTAAGCCTTATCGAAGACTTTGATATAGTAGAAGCTATAATGAGACACCTTTTCCAATACTCGTCGCTCCGTTGGCTTCCTTTGGTATAGCATCGAGAAGATGCTGCCGGCTATCATCTGTGATGAGGACGAGGTCGGAGAGAACATATGCTGTACCGATGGCTTCCGTCGATGGGCCGTACGTCCCGTTGAACACGACGATGCCCACGTACTCCCCTTCCCGCGCGATTTCCATCAGATAGTTACGACATGCCTGCGTTAAACAGATAAATCCATTATCGTAGATCAACGGTTCTTAACCAGTCCTGGGGGTCGTTTGGGGGGTTTTCGGGGGTCATAAAGGTGTCATAAATGAAACAAATCCATTTAAATTCTATATAGATCGGGCTGGTTTAAAAAGAAGAAGTTTGTTTCGGGGGTCACGGTACTGACTAAGAATGTCTGATGGGGTTGTGGGTCCAAAAAGGTTCAGAACCACTGTAGTAGATGATGTACATAGGCCGGTGTGCGCGCCATCAACTCTAGGGCATACTATAAAGTGATTTGTTTCCCATAGGCTAACGATTTCCAGAATTGCCAAACGAAAATGTAGTAGTTATTTTGCGGCCACCATTATTTTCCAAATGCAAGATATATTACACAGAAAATATTGAAATGACAACAACTGGATGAATGAAAGACATAATTATGAACTTATATATATATATATATATTATATATATATATATATATATACTTGTGAAGAAATATTTTTTATTACAATTGGTTCATATTATGGTTTATGGTCGTCCTTGTTATTTCAATCTTCATATTCTCTCTGCTTTAAACCAACTCGCGCCTGCAATGAGCAATCGTTAGATATTTCTTTCATCCATAATATATACCTGTCTTAGTTTAGCAACTATTCGCACCATCCTTGTTAATGAAGGGGAGCATGCTTGCTGATACGTCCAACACGAGCACGGTCCGCCGAGGTTTAGCACGCAGCAAAGTGAACTTGGGAACTGTTGATGCGATCTCGCGCGGTGGGTTGGCCTCATTGGCAAAATCCTCGTGTTTCCTCATCACCTGGAGCATAAATCCCAACATTCTACTTAGTATCTTCTAGGGGCTTAAACCAGGAAAATATATAGAAAACATAAATTATCTGTTTAAGTCTCAGGAATGCTTGCTCGAAAATGCGATAGTGTCTGATTACATTAGTATTAAAAGGCATGTATATCACTATGATGATATCCCAATGAGATATTTTAGATATTAGGCAAACGTATTAATTCAGCAAATTAACAGTAGTATGAGTGCAGGTAGGACAATAAATAACATGCCCGATGCTGTCACTACCTGCACCGACATACGCGGGTGATGATCCCTAAACTTCTAAGCTGACAAAAGAACGCGGTGTTAAGAGTACAAAGCTTAACCTCCCAGACCTCGGTTGGCTCGGGAATTAAACGGTCAACTCTTCTGTGTTTAATATTGGTTTGGCTCATTCTGTTTTCATTCGTGGGAGTGCTAAATATCTTGTTAGATTTTTTCAGTCCGGATATATGTCATATTTCTTTTAGCCTGTAATCCTCTAGGAACATTCAAGAGTGTGGTACTGATCGCGTCTCGCAAGTTCATCACTGTCACAAAACCCATCAATCTAAAAATCAAATCCACAACAAACTTTTAACTTCATAACACCACTATATATATATATATATATATTATATAATATTAATATATATATATATACATATATATACATGTACATATATACTTTAAATTATATAATGTCAAGTACATTAATATAGAGATGAAGGTACGAAAGAATTCAGGACGTATTTTCGTATTCCCGTCTTTCTTAGTTATTAAACCTGTGAAAAATGTTTCCATTTAGGTTGCGCTGAACTAAAACCCTTGCCAAGTGGATGCTTCCTACAAAGTAAATGTGTGCTTAGATAGAGCGACACAAATATTTTCATGCAGAATACACGTGGAACGTAATCGATATGCCATCGGCTTCTTTATCAGTCGATATATATCATAGAATATGCAGTGCTTCGTGCATTACCGCTCAAAGTGACGTGGAAGCACAATATCTTTCCCCCGTACATACCTGAGTAAGATATTGTCTATACATGAGGGACCCAGCGGGCTTGCCACCGTCTTCATCCTGCCACACGCAATACGACGGCGGTCGATTCCCGATGACGTGACACTTACCCCCAGTGATCAGATTCACTAACCTTCCTGCGCGGAAACGAAAAATTACGTGCGTCAACCATAGAACCGTGCGTCAACCGATAGATATTGCGCTGAAGTTATCGATGTCTTCCGCTAGGTGGCAGCGCAAGCCAATCATAAAATTGCCAACGTGGGAGATGTCCTGTGACAATTCTGACGGAGCCGAAGCGAAGTCGTTTTATCTAGAAAGTAGCCGTGCACGGATATTGTTCTCGGCAGTTACCGTGGGCAGTATGCCGTTGGCTACTGAATATGTAGTAGTATTTCTAAATGTAATCTCGTAAGGAAACCGCCTCCCTTACGCCCCCACGCTAGCTAGCTACAACACTGTATAACATAATATATTTGGGATGAAGATACAATAGAACAAGTAAGCTCTTTAACACATTACCAATGCATGATGTCCAATTTGCAGGTTTGTGAGAATAGTTTAACTTTGCTACTAGGTGCATGTAATATTAATTAAAATTTAAAACCAGCCAAAGTACCATTGCGTATATCGGTAATAATTAAGCACCGTAAATCAGACTGTCGATGGAATGAAAGCTTGCATGGTGTATATGACGCATTGCACGAACATTCCCTAAAATAAGCAAACATCACCAGAACCATATGTTTCGCACACCGCACACGGATTGGAGAATACATGAGTAACACGTCTTTAGCATATTCTTGCAATCTTCCCGTTTTCGGTAGACCCACGAACCTTTTATAGCCGCCGAGCATCGATTTCCGGTGAAGTCTCCTCCTTTGGAAGCATATACGCGAGGGCTATTTTTCCCTCCTGGATACTCATCGTACACACCCCACCGTAGATGCGCCCACTCATGTACAATCACCTAAGTACAAAAATAAAGTGTTTAATCGTTGATACTAGGATTGCTAGTGAACGTGAAAGCATGCATTTGGAGACAATGATAATCGTCTACGGAGAGAAACCATTTCCAATGTTATTTATGGATTATGGACATATAAGCCGCGTTCACACGTAGCAAGAAATTCGGTATTTAGCGTTCACACGAGGCAAAATGCGCAGTCCAAGAAATACGGTATCTAAACAGATCCGGTATTTGATGTAAATACGCGGCATCCCAGACCCCGAATAATTTGCCGTACTGGAGAAATAACGATCTCTTGGACGCGCCATTTCCCTCATGTTGACGCCCTAATACTGGATTTTCTAAAGCGGCGTATTTATAGACTGGTCCGCGCTCGACAGTTAGTGTAAGCGGCGAGTGGAACTGTCGAGCGGGCGACCAAGTCTACGTATTTTATCGGTGTCTCCCGTTTGCCAATTTTTGCGCCACTTCGCCATTTCCCATTTCGCATTTTCCCATTTTCGCCAGTTTCCCATATTCGCAGCCATTTTCCCACTTCGCCTTTTCCCATTTCGCCCATTTTCCGATATTCGCGACATTTTCCCATTTCGGCCATTTTCCCACTTCGGCCAGTTTTTCCCATTTCGCCCAATATTTTATGTTGCTTCACCCCCTGCACTAGAAATTGATCCTTCCATTCTTAAAAAAAGAGTCATTCTAGGGTTAGGTTAGGGTTTGGGTTAGGGTAGGCTAGGGTTAGGTTAGGTTAGGTTAGGGATAGGATAGGGTTAGGGTTAGGTTAGGGTGCCTGTACATGATCCATAATGTTTTGATATGTACAATTTCGCCTACTTGTTCTTCAAATAAATAGTTGACTCCATATCTAAAGATTCGTTTACAATTTATTCATTACAGAGGCCTACATTTTAACCCACATCGAACAAGGGGGTGGTCGGGGAGATAGACGAAATGGCGGAATGGGAAACTGGCGAAACGGGAAACTGGCGAATGGGAAACTGGCGAAGTGGGAAACTGGCGAAATGGGAAAGATGCGAAGTGGGAAATGGCGAAATTGGAAATGGCGAAATGGGAAATGACGAAATGGGAAATTTTAATGTCGAAATGGGAAATGGCGAGTGGGAAATGGCGAAACGGGAATAAACCATTTTATCGGCAGTTGGTGCGGCATGGGCATGTTTTCATTTCGGCATTGTTCGCTTGATTGTTTAAAGCAGCTCGCAGCTCGCAAATACCGTATTTTTGGATCCGTGAATCAGCGTGTGAACGCTCGGCCGCGTATTTGTCTCAGATTCGGTATTTCGCAAATACCGTATTTCATAAATACGAAGTCTCGTGCGAACGAGGCTATAGTTACAATGGATAAAAAATGGGCACAGGTGCAACTATATTTTCCAATAAATCCTGGAATATGAATCCTGTGTATCGTAATTTTACCATTTAACTATCGTATATATGGATTACACGGTAGCTTTATAATTGTGATAAGCGTTAACACCAATAATTGCTGCGTTACAGTAAAAACCCGCGTATAAGAACCTGTATTTTTCCAGGTTAGCCTAAAAAGGTTCTTATATAATTGGTGTGTACTGGAAAATTAGGCTATTTACGTTCTTAAATAAGTTCTTGTTTTTTTAAGAAAAAAAGGTGCTTGTGGCTGGTAGAATATTGGTGCGGTCCATTGTTTATACAAAATATTCATATAATTATGTCTAAATGACTGCAATCTCAGGGGTCGAAATTAGCGGTATCCCGATATCCGCAACATAGTAGATTCTTGTGTTGGATACCAGATTTCAATGCTTGGTATCCCGCCGGGATATTAAAAAAAAATCGTCAAAATCGGGATAGTGGTTGTTGAGTTATCAACTTTATACGGCAGCGCATCTGAGCGAGTGCGCGTAGAGCGAGTGCGCGCGATCTGAGCGGGCTCAGGCACCCTTACTATGCCACACTAGCGTTATACAGCAGGCATAGCATATTTGCAAGCGCAAGCGTAAAGCGTGGCCGATGTTGATAATAAATGTGATGTGTATACATTGTATCAAGCGAACCAGACAATGCGTCGAGACAATACGTCTGCAGTGTACTTATCTGCGCATATCTGTGAATCTGTTTTCATGTTTTAATAATATAATAATATATTATAATTACATAATATTACATAATAATTATTAATAATTATATAATAAGTATATAATATTATATAATAAGTATATAATAATTACATTACATATTAATAATTTTCAAACGCTATTCAAGTGCTATAATTTTCAAATGTTTCAGCGCGGAATCACATTCCGCGCCGAGTAAGCCGCGTATTTCAGTACGGTACTGAATAAGCCGCGTATATTTTTACCATGTGAACGCTCAAGTACGGTACTAAAATCCTCGTGTGAACGCAGCTATTATTGCATATTTCAAGATTTTGGATATAAACATTGTTGAAATTACTATCCAAAAAATGGGATACCAGATCTTCGGGGGGGGGGGATACCAGATTTCAATACCTGGTACCACGAATAGATACCATAATAAAAATCGAATTTCGACTCCTGAATCTAGACAAATACAAACCCTATTCTACGTTCTTATTTTTTTATGCCCTTTATACCTAATAGAGGTATATAGACCACCAAGAACTTGTTTTAGTTGATTTATGAATTTTAAAGTGATAACTCAATTTTATCAAATAAGAACCTGTTTCAAATTTTAGGCTACAACAGGTTCTTATGTCAAAGAAGTCTAAATGGAAAATCTTAGCCTAACAGGTTCTTAATCACTAGGTTCTTATACGCGGGTTTTTACTGTATTTACGAATGCAAGTTAAGAAGATACCGACAAACAATAGTGAGTTTTCCTGTTAAATACATCCTAACGATTATTTCCCGAATACGAATAGAGATTCAAAGGATCGTGAATGACGTGGGCAAGTAGAAATGCAAGATGTGCGAGACAGTCAAGGAAATAACAGTACACTTCAACCACAGGTTTACCTTAGCGTGTGGTCCTAACACCATGCTGTCGTTCATTAGGTAGTGTGGATTTAACAGCATGTAATCGCCTTGCTTGCCGCAAGGATTCGGATTGTAAACAAACGGTTGGAACATTTCGATGTCAGGATAGTCGACCCTGATGTCCGCAGTTGCCATGGTTTCCGTCGACGCCGGGAGGTATTCTGGCTGATCGCTCCACGTCTTCGGAACGAGAATGCTGATGTCTTCAAAGTACGCGCGTTTCCTGCGACACGAAAGGAGAGAAGCGACGATTTACTGCTGCGCGAATCAAACGAATCTGTCGTGACTCATCTCTAAACGAAGTCACGCATGAATACGTTAACGATCGACCCCTTGCGTGCGTGCGTAGCTGTAGTGTTATGCACCGCCATGTGCACAGATGCACGCCCACTATAACCACCTAAACGCCTGGGACTCAAGAGTATGATAATAATCCCCAGAGTTTATTATCTTAATCTTGGTGGGACTGCCGCTTTCACTAATTAGTTCTAATGTTTAAAGCCCTTCATGTTTACGTAACACATTTCTCGTGCGTAAGTGAGATGATTCTGTGCAGCGGCCTAATTAAGAGATCCGACTACTGCTAGCGTAGCTTTTAATAGTTGTGATAAATACGGCGTGGAAACTGTCATCGTAGCAATTAGGCAAATAACGATGCCGTATATTTACGCACACACGCACACACGCACACGCATATATATATATATATGAAAGGGCGGCGCCACTTTTTTAAAAATCGTGGGGGGGGACATTTGATATGATGTCCCCCCTCTGAAAATTCGGGGGGGGGACATGTCTCCCTGTCCACCCTGGATTTGCGCCCCTGCTACCTATGAGTTGATGGTTACACATGCATTACTGAAACCTTGAAATATAATATTCACTTCCAACTCCAACTAGAAACATATGTCCTACAGCATGAACCCTGTAGATACCAAACTAACATTATTTGTATTGTTTTATTTGTACACCGTTTCAGGTGGCCCATGGCACCCGGGCCACCGTTAAAGTCGACCCCTGGTATGCGCTATATGCATGCCAGGCTAGGCTAAGTACTAAGTTAGGCTCTGCGTGCTGCGCGTACTTAAGCCGTGCGTACGCGTGCGTAGTGCAGTAGTGCCGCCCCTGATATGTATAAGTATATACATATATACTTAAAAAAAAAAAAAAAAAATTAAACCATTTATCAACAGCTGACGTTTCAAATTGTACCATGATTAACTATTGTATTTTCCACAACTGATGAGTCCTATAGTTTTGTTTCCTTGCTTAAAAAATTAACATCTGGTATTTCATTCGGAAGGTCCAATGTATGGGAGGAAGGCGTGCCTGTGTAATGAAGCTAATTCAGCCATAGATAGATACTTATTTATAAAAATTTACACCGGCAGATTCGGTGACATGGACATGCCTCGGGCGACTAATCACTCATTCGCCTCATTAGTGCCAAGGCAGTGGGACAGTGGTCACTCTCCCCCCCCCTTCTATCGAAAGTATAGAAAGACATCCAGGTTAGGTGGACGAAACGCGTGCCATACTTAAGTCACGTGGTTCGGCCAAAGTTGTATAAAAAGGCCCGCTTTAGAACAGAAAGTCAGAGTCACCATCGCTAGTATGTGAGTATGGTTTGATTTGCATTGACTTGTTGTTTTGCGCTGTATTCGTGTGTTAAACTACGTTGAGACTGTGTAAACTATCTTGAGAGTTTGTTTATGTGTTGTGTGTTCCTTGCTTAGTTAAGGCAACGAAATTGTACGCGCCATCGCCCCTAGAGGGATTATAACAATTGTGGATTGCTTGGTAAAGGAGTAAATAGAACTAGTGTTGTACGTTACATCTTGTTTCTGTCATATGATACGTTATTCACTCTTGCTCTATTAATCGTGCTATCTAATGGTAACATTCTACACGCGCCACAAGTACGAACCTGTCCACTATACGTTTACAATCACCACATTACAACTGCATCGGAAAGGGGTAATGCGGAATAAATATGCTACCTCGTTTTCCCTAACCTTTTTACAGGCAAAACTAAAATCCTTTGTCGCCTAATTTTTGTCGCTAGGTTTTTGTGAGCTAATTGGAGCCGAAATAAGTTTCCAAGCGCGCGTTTATTCGTGAAATATGTTTTTGTCTGCTACTGTACGTATTGGAAACATGTTGAAACAATGAATACATGTAATTGCAATAATGCTGTACAACCCTGTAGCTGATTCAATTTATATAGCATTTCATTCGTAGTTCTATGATGATGAAAATTTGCATCGTCGTCCTAAATATTGGCGCCGCTGGTGAAATACTTGAAAATTATGAACAACACACATTCCCTAGTGATTACATATAGTAATTACTCTGAAAGGCAACATCAACATACGCATACGTATATATAAACACAACTACTCGCTTGCAAGGGCTACGAGACTCGAAATTTTAGGCGTACAGCGGGCCAACAAAACACATAGAAAACAAACGTGCGCAATGTCCTTCAGCTGCATCTATAATTGACCAGTTTTGAACTTTAAGAAAAACTCGCTAGAGGAGCGGCGTTAGCCTTAGTCACAGCATCGCCGTCCTTAGCTCTAGTACCCGCTTACAGCGGCAGTCAATGTAAGCGGGCTATAGTACTAGAGCTACGCCGCCCTAAGCTCTCACCACACCACGCCGCCCACTATTCACATATCATCGTAATCGTCTCTCCAGCTGAGTCAAGCGCGTTCAGCATACTAGGGGGCGAGCTCGACCCTCATTGATACACCCCTGATGCGTATACGACATCGGAATGTCGTCTGTTTCTACACACGCGTACGCACGCACGCACGCACGCGGACCAGACGTTGACGCTGCGCAGTTGCTCGTACGAATGTTGCCGCCCCGGAACAAAGATTTCTTTCGATCGTGTACCGAATTACTGATCGAAATTGCCCTCCCAGAAGCGCGGGAGCATTTGCGCTGCCCATGATGAATAATGAGCAGATCGGTAGCCGTGATGCGTAACACGAGTGCACGCGTAATGGGCGCGTGTGTCTGTGCACGCGTGCGCGTGTCTGCCTGTGCGTGCGCGCTGAAAGAGAGAACAGCAGAGATAGAGAGAGAGAGAGAGAGAGAGAGAGAGAGAGAGAGAGAGAGAGAGAGAGAGAGAGAGAGAGAGAGAGAGAGAGAAGAAGAGAGAGAGAGAGAGAGAGAGAGAGAGAGAGAGAGAGAGAGAGAGAGAGAGAGAGAGAGAGAGAGAGAGAGAGAGAGAGAGAGAGAGAGAGAGAGAGAGTGGGGGAGGTTTTTTTAGTATGATTTAAGAGCGACCGCGGCCTGCACGTGCGGCGTTTTAATATGGATTACAGCAGGAGCTGGAGTCTGCGGCTGCAGCGCCGGACTCCTCCTTCTCCTCCTCCTCCTCCTCATCCTTCTCCTCCTCCTCCTCCTCCTCATCCTTCTCATTTCCCTCCTCCTCCTTCCCCTCCTCCTCCTCGCCTCCTCCTTCCTCCTCCTCCTCCTCCTGCCTTCTCGCTCCTCCTCCTCCTGCCCAGCCACTAGTCCGCCTTCGCCGAACGAGCGTCTGCTTCTCGCATCGTTCACCGGACTCCTGGCAAACGATTTCTGCCCGAAATCTGCGTTTCGTGCTTCCCTACCTCTGCGAAACCGCTTGCAATCCGCATTCAAACTAATGTCGCACCAGACGCTTTGAAGCGTAAACATCTACCATATCCCATCTGCCCATCACATCGCGGCTACGCACACAGAGATGCCACGGCGACGGAGCTCGTGAATCGATCTCTGTTTTATATTGCGATTACTTCTGGGACATGAACGCGCGATCACGCTTGCAAAGCAACGCCAATTGCTTTTGAGATTCACCAGCAGAGATGATCGAGGCATCAGGGATGACCCACTCCCACGATATTTGTCCATCAGAGTGGGATGCAGAGTGATGCGAATGACAACCCTACTGGAAATATCAGGCCCGTTTAAATGGAGAGCCTTTGATGCTCTCCGACATTGCCTTTCTCGTTATGAGGAGGAGTGGATACAAATTGGCCCACTGCGTCGTTGTTCTAACGAGGTAGCCCAGACATTAACTGCTAGATAACTAACCACGCACCGCGATATAATAATAGCAGGAGTAAGATAATATAGGATATATTAAGATAATATCCTATGTTATCCTATTATCCTATAGATAATATCCTATATTATCTTACTCCTGATAATAGTACACACCGTGTTACAGCCGCTAGGGACGGTATACGGTTTCCATTGCCGAGTCAACGCGACTATTAACGTATCGTAGCCATGACGATGACTTTGATAATTACGAGAGTATATACTACCTTGTGGCTGTGTACAAGAACCTCGATGCGTCCGTAAGGCTGTCCTTAATTCGAGCGATGATCTCCTCGCTTTCTTCCACGCTCTCGTCCACGGCGACCTGCAGGTTTTTGTAGCCGTTGTGCTGCAGGTAGACCAACGATCGCGATGCGGCCATTCCGCTTGGCAAGATCGTAGAGAACACCAATAAAAGCATGTACAGTCGTAGTCCTGATATCACAGAAGTTAGCTGCCGTTGCCACACAGTCGGGCGTGCCACCGATGTACGAGTACTGAAAGACATTGTGTACGCTGTCACTGCTCCTCGAATCTCTGCGGGTATAATACGCGCACAGATGTCTGTTCACTCTAGTATATTGCCACTCGCGTTCAACCCTTGTACTGCGGCCGACGTTAGACCGTCTGTATGCTACACTTGTTAGCGTTCGCGATCCAAAAAACACACGCGTATTTCACGGTACACCGCGCGACGCAACTCGTACATGCAAATATCACCGTCTGATTTTATACGTGCACTTTAACGCGAAGAAAACGCAGCGGCGGCGGCGGCGGCGGCGGCGGCGGCGGCGACGAGGGCGTCTAACAAGGAGAGCGATCGATAGCGGCCAGCCGGTTTCTAGGCTGAATCATCGGCGATGACGCTACTCGAATTCTGTGTCACCCGCTCCCACCATTACACACACATACACACACACACCACTCTCTCTCGCTCACGCGCTCTCTCCCATTCTCGCGCTATACCTATGTCAACAATGCGCCCGCGGCTACGGGCCGGTTTCAGCGCATATTATTAATGGAGTTTCCGCGTGCTGCAGTTATAGTTAGACGGAACCAGGGGGCGGCCGTGGTACAAGCCGGTTTCGGAGCAAGGTGTAATGCTTACTACCGTGACGTTGCCGTACGAGCAAATAATAAATATTAGGATAAGATACGGCATCTAGCTGCTAGGAAATGACATAGGACACCGTATAAGGTATCATTCACCAACGTGCGCTTGCTTTACATTCTCTTTCCCTCTATTCACCTCACTCCCACGCTCTCCGTGTGTCTGTGCATGTGGATACGTGAACGCAGGCCCGTAGCCAGCTTTATATTGGAGTGGGGGGGGGGGGTTCGTTCGAACAAACCCCCCCCTGGCTACGGGCCTGCGTGAACGTATATGTGTGTGATTGTGGAAAGTGTGCGATTTGTGTGTAGCAGTAGAATGTAATATCAATAAACTACGTGCAATATTTAGCGATATACATGTACGATACTGATGTGTACAGCCAACACAAGTTGAACTTGAGTGTTCTAGCAATTTCCTTCCCGTTCGTCGATGGTAAGAAGCAATGCCACTAACAGGAATCTGACCCTCATGAACATAGATTTTAAATTTTTTTTTAATTCGCATTTGCAATCTCAGACAGGACGGAAGCAATCACAGGTGTGAGGATACGCGTAGGAGTTTTATGTAAATGTACGTAGTCGTCATGCAGGTGTGATGCAGTGAACGTATACTAGTAGTATGTTTACATATCTGATGGCGTGGGTTGACTGTGCACGCGCGCGAGATATGTGAGGCACACATATGTGTAACAAAAACGACGTATCAGTCAGACATGTTTACAAGCTGCAGCGCACAAAAACCTACTGAACGTTGTTGAAAAGCACCCCGAATCGTCTGCCAACGTAGTGAACTAGTGGTTGTTTTAGCGTGACGTCAATTTAAATACAGGCAATTTGATAGGGCGCATTCCTAAACCAACCTTAGGGAATTCAGATATGTAAATGTGAGTCACGAATGTGTTTCCTTGGATCGGAAAGCAGATTAAACATACCGTCTTTTACTTTTAGAGGACACACTCTTGCTCTTAAGTACCCTAGCTCATATAGCCACCCACATCAACACCCACTCCTCCCCCAGGCACTCGTAACAGATGCGCGCACATGCAGTAGCATCGCGTCGTATCGGTGTGTTCGTTGTAGAGCAGCAACATATTAAATTGACTACGTCACGAATTTTCTATGGTAAAATTTGTAAAATTTTTGTTGCCATTTTTTTACATTAAAAGTAAGAACTAACGTACGGGACTAAACGTATCGTCAAATTCTTACCTGATAAAATTGTTTCTCCGCTAGTTAAAACTGGACGATTTGATATTAGTGTTTCTGACATTAATTGCTTGCTATGGGCTATGTATGCGTCACGAGTGTATGTTTACATCGAACAATATAGTAAAATAAAAAGTATAATGCAGCAATTTAACCATAAAAAGTGAACAGAATTACTTATATTTTGAGAAATATGTTTTTTATTTTTTACTATTTACGGTAACGTAATAACTTACGGGTCCTAATGTCTACCTCAATTTGACTTATAGAAAGTCCTAAAACATCTGCTGGCGATCTCACTATAGGAAAATAACGATGAGAATACAATAAATAAAGCAAAGATATATGATTTGCTAAGGCGGAAGAGTGTGGTGGCATACGACGTAGATATATGATGGTACCCACACTAGGGATTGTATCAGGCTACCTCATACGGATGTGATGGAATTTAATTACGTACGCAAAATGATGCGTCACGCATTAATTTACTGGATCAATTTTAAGATCCATTATCATCATTTCAAACGGGCTAATTTCTTTAGACTACAAATTTTTGCTACAACCACAAAATCCTCAAATACAACACAACGTAAGTATATCTATGAATGGAATACATTTTGTACGGTGATGATGCTGGGAACACATAGACTGGTCCCCGATCGTGTGACTCACCCAGCCTAGACCCATCACGACGGCGATGAACCAGTCTCAGGCACCGGGGAAATGTAGCGCGATAACGGTGAGAGATGGTGCGTGCCGATCGTATATATATTGCAATTAATTAACGAAATCGTTACATTTTTGGCCTTACATGAAAATTTTAATTGGCGATTTAAAGATCAGAAACCTTTACAGCCACAGCGTAGCGTAGTCCCATGTAGTACGCGTCGGTTGTTAACTACATGTATACATGACCAGCGACGCATTCCTAGAGGCAACGTTGTCGTGCATTGCAGCGTGTGACAGACTGCCTGACGTGGTGATAGACTGATATACCTATAGTTCCCAAAGAGTCCACCTTATGGGCTCAGTCGTAGGGAGATTTGGATTTAAGTGCAAGGTAAATTAGATAAGTGCAATTTATTTAGACCAATAGGTTTGAAATTATTATTTGTTATTGGATATATTTATTATATATATTTACCTCCGCCAGGGGCTTGGCGGAGGTTATGTTTTCACCGGCGTGTGTTTGAGTGTTAGTTTGTGGGTTTGTGTACGCTCGCTGATTGGCTGATTGGCCCGCCACCGCCGCCGCCGCCGCGCCGGAACCGCCTGTATCATACAGGTTAAGCCTAACTGAAAATGTTATGGACGGATTGTCATAAAATTTTCAGGATACGTCAGAAATGGGCTAACTTAGAATTGGTGAGATTTTGGTGGTGATCCGGATCCAATTAATTAATTAATTAATTAATAAAATTTTCAGGATAGGTCAGAAATGAGGTAACTTAGAATTGATTATATTTTTGTGGTGATCCGGATCCAATTAATTAATTAACTAATTAATTAATTAATAAAATTTCCAGGATAGGTCAGAAATGAGGTAACCTAGAATTGATTACATTTTGGTGGTGATCCGGATCCAATTAATTAATTAATAAAATTTTCAGGATAGGTCAGAAATGGGGTAACTTAGAATTGATTACATTTTGGTGGTGATCCGGATCCAATTAATTATTTAATTAATTTTTTCACTTAATTAATTAATTAATTAATAAATAATTTCACATTGAGAGAATTCAGCTGCCTTGGCGGAGGTCTATGCTCTCCGAGTGCTCTAGTTAAATTTATTATTGAATTATATGAAACTTTTATGAAACCCTACTGTATTGAAAGTCGAAAGTTTTTAAGCTCACGTGGGACTGAATGGCATTTGTAAAGGGTTTTCACTCGTCGCGTCGTTTCATCCGATTTATTTGTATCCAATACTTTTTCTTTTCGCAATGGATGTTTTTATGTGACACGATGTCTGTGATAAGTGCATGACATCTTGTACTTATCAAACGCCAAATGATTAAGCATTTAGTTTGGAGTGTGGCGTGCCTACAGAGTGTGCGCAACGAAAATTGCACCATCGCTACTTCAATGTGGTGGCACTGCTCTGCCGAAGATCCCTTGCTATTTCAATGTACAGGAATAGGGCGCGGACACGTCGGCGACCTGTCGCCCAAAGCAAATGACGTAGGGGCGTCGTTAATCATTTAATTTGGAGCGTGGCATTCCTACAGAAAAGGTGTGCATCGAAAATTGCACCCTCGCTACTTTAACGTGGTGGCACTGCTCTGTCGAAGATCCCTTGCTATACCAATGTACAGGGATAGGGCGCGGACACTTCGGCGACCTGTCGCCCAAAGCAAATGCGTGACGTAGGGCCGCCGTTAAGGATACCAGTACGCATGGCGGGAATAATTTGCGCCCTCTATAGCAGCTGATAAGAAGCTGCAAGCGGATTGGTGTAATCCCCAATCTGCTAAACTGCATACTCGCTGAGCAGGGAGAGATAGTCATGCTTACTAGTGATAGTTCATTCACTATTTTCTATAGTCTATATCTGATTATTCTAGGCATTGCAGCTCATAATACCGCTCGAGAAAAGGAATTTGAAACGACAACCGCCATAAACAATGAAAGCCCAATTCAAAAATACAAAACCATTGCAGGCCAAGTGTCAATATCGACAAATCGTAAAGTAGGCCTTAACTATAAACCGTTTCGAGCATGGACGACGGTCAATGAAAACTGACCGGTGAGTATTGGTTTCGTTCCACAATCTGCGCCTTAAACGGTTTGCAAAAGGAAAGACATACGGAGGCAGAGGCACTATTTACCATACATAATATAGACGACGATATCCCACACAGGTATCTAGAATGAACACGGGTGTACAGTATAGTCGTTTATCAAGAACGTGGCTACCAGAGTATGTCTGCCTGTATGCTGCGGTACATGTCCGTAAGGGGGAGAACTGGATAACTGCTCCTACGTTGTCATAACCTTGGTTGTGGCGAGGCAAATAAAGAACCCGAGTTCTTCTACGAATAATTTGCTATAACTGTTTGAGGTCATAGTGCAAATTCTGAAAAGCATGTACGTGACTATTTTAGTGATTATTGATTATTTTTGATATATTATATAATATTATATATATTATATTATATATAATTATATATATATATATATATATGTATATCTATATATTATATATATTATATATATTATATTATTTGATTTATTATTGATTTTATTATTGATTAGTGATTATATAAGTGATTATTTTAGATAGACGCCAATAGAAATGCTAGACGCATAGTGCGGTGATAAGGTTAATCCATGAATTTTGTATCTGGTGAATGAGCGACAGGGTACATACAGATCGTTCGCAAGTGGACGCACGAGTACATGATGTTTGTTTTAGTAGCGAAATAAATATTTGCCTGGGACTTATTCATCT